TATTATTTAATAATTAATTCTTTTATTTTTTAAAATTTATAATATTTTAATTTATTTATTTAATAATATGACATATATTACACCATTAATTTTAATTTTTTATCCTTTCTATCATTACTCAATTCATTTACATAATGTTTGAATATGTACTAATTCACTCGCCTGTTCACAAAATCAGACAATGAAAAGTTTCCATAAAAATAAAAACTATCATCAAGTCATGTTATAAACAAACATCAATGAATCACACCCACAACACCAGCTGCATTGGATAGAATGCACCTTTACCAAAACTAAAATCTTAATTCTAGATTTTGTACAGCCAATCCCCCTTCTCTCCAAATTCCCCCAATGTTATAAAAAAAAAAAGGACCGTCAATGAATCATTACTAAAAGGGGAATGGTTTGGGGGAGTAGTTTTCTATTTAAGTACCATGATGGACATATATATATATATATATATGTATGTATATAACGAACTAATAACAATTTAACACTTGAGAAGTATAGAATTAATTAATTATAATAATAATATACATTCCCATGATATTATCAACCTGTAGTGAATATAGTTGCTCTGTGTCTTGCAAGATGATGGAACCACATACATCACTTGGACTTATGGTATGTGACAAACATATGCAGAGACACCTGTGGCTGAAGCAAACCACATGATGGAAGAAAAATTTGACAAACCATAACCTTGTCATCTTAACCGCAGCTAAAATGTTATTATTACCTATGACACATGAAATGTAGAGGGAAAAAGAGTGAGGTAATATCCAAAGGCTATTCGGTTTACTACCCGACACTGGAAGCCTGAACCAAAAATGGAGGAAGGTGATGCTCCAAAACTGCTAACAGCTCTCTGCCTTGGTGTACCTCTTCTAAGACCTGACCACCAAGCCTTCGAACGGCTTCAACGAGCTGCCCCCGAAGTCTTTGTGATAACAAACAACCGCCTGCCTGAAGACACTCCCTGTATAGGGGTAGGTACGCAATTGCCACCCTTAATGGTGCTGGGAGATCACTTAGGGATATGGGAGATCCTCCCAGCTTCAAAATCCTCATAAAGTTCACGTAATGTTCATGGCCTTGGTTTAATCCATCAAAGAAAGCTGCCTTTGACCAGTGCTTTTGAAGGAAAGCTTTCAGTTCAGGAGGAACTGAATCATCTTCAGACCTAGCAATGCTATCTGCAACAGCATACGTGGCTGCGGGATCACCTAGGAAATCAGAGCGGAGGAGAAAAGCCACGCCATCCAGAGATCCACCACTTCGTTCACCAGCAGCCTTGAGGATTTCAATGCTAAGAGCCGCAAGGACATGCTGAGGGACATGAGGGAGGAGATAAGCAGCAACGTCAACTTGGCTACTGGAAGTAGCAGCAGTTAGGGCTAGACAGAGCTCCATGTCCCGGCAACCCCTTTGCACAAACCACTGGACAACCTGCATGCAACCCCTCTCAGCTGCTCTCATCAAAGGGCCAAGAAATGCTATGGCATTACCCTCTTCCACTAGACACTCCATGGTCCCAATTTTGCAGTAGTGTGAGGCAAAACCTAATGCAAGGTCAACATCCACATCCAAGCTGTTCCTCTGGGCAATCTGAACAGACAAATCCCACATTATCAATGAAAATAATGAGGAAATGTCAGTGTCAGTTAAACATTGAGGTACCATATATTCTAAAGCAGAATACATCAAATAAGATTGAACAGCATAGTTCCAAAATTTGTAGCAAATTACTGGTTTTGACTATTGACAGTGTCACTGGAGCAACCAGTTACCACCAACAGTCCCTCTCTCACAACAGTTGGTGAAGCAAGTCCAAATAATTAGCAGCTAGAGTAAGGTTGCAATATTTTCAAAAGCACAAATGAATGAGAAAAGGGCCCACTAGAATTCAACTAAACATTACAAAAAAAAAGAAAAAAGGGGGGGCTAACAAAGAGAGACAGGAAAAGAGCAAGACTTAAAAAGAACCCAAGGACAATATACTAACAGTGATGTGCTTCTACCAAGCAAGTAAAAGCTCTATTTAGGATTTAGCATTGCAAAAATTTTCCTTAGGAGGCTACCATGCAGATTTCCTCAAAGAAGACAGATGGAATGAGGAAGACACCCAACATGTGAACTTCAGCTCTAAGGGGCATTTAAATAGTACTATATATTACAAAATTTTTTTGGCCATCAAGCTCAGAGGATTATAATCTATCTACCAAAACAATAATAGAATCAAACCAAACAAAAAACAAATCTCAACCTAATAAATAAAACCATACCTGCAACAGAATCCTCACAAGTTCTGTACTCCCAAAACGAGAGGCTTCGAGGAAACACTGGTTTACATTGTCTGCACCTCCTTCCACCAACATACCCAATAACCCTTGGATCACGGTAGCTGATATCCCAGATGCCCAACCAGGATCAAATGAGCTAGAGAAGAGAGTAAGAGGAAAACAAGCTGCATCAAACGCCTCTGTAAAATCCTTTCCTGTGAGATGATTGCCTGCAAGATCTAAGAATGTCTTGAATGCAGATAACTGTAGTTGGATCTCAACAGCTGAGTAGTGATCCACTCTATCCTTATTCTCTTGGCAACGAGAATGGAAGCCTATACATTTCAAAGCCCATTCAGTAAACTTTTGAACCTTGGCACCAGCTTCTGCCTTCAACACCTCATCCCCATTGCATTCTTGGAGACGCTCGTGCAACCTGATTTAGAGGCAAAATAGAAGCACATGACAAATTAATAGGATTCTAAACTAACTGCAATAACATTTAGAACACATACCGCAAAAAAATTGTCTTCTGAACTCTCATTTCATGGCATAAAGTTTCTATTAGACAGGGTTAACATCCTTTTCAAGCTTAAAAGATATATAAGATTTTGAGCTCTCTTTGATCCTTGACCCTAAATCATTACCCCCATCTACACACACACGATCTTTACAGACTTGAGCTTCTCTTCAACTAGTTAAAGCTTGAAATTCATTCAGTTGTATAACTGGCAAAAGTTAAAAGCTAAATCACATATCCCTTTTTAAAGACACTGATACAGTATCATAAGTACTTATATAATCATGGACATAAGGCCAATAACATTGTATAATTTCTGGTAGATCCATCAGAATTAGAAGGTTCAAATAAATAGAATTTTTGTTTCTGATATCATAAAAATTCAACATTATGGTGTTGGCCCTTCATCACCAAGCAGGACTAGCATGTTTAAAAGAACCAGCCAAGTAGAAGCTGATAATACACATTAGTATAAAAAATTAATTCACAAGCTCTGCTGGGAAGTAGGATTTCAGACAGAACCTCAATAGAAAAATGTCATGTCTAGCAAGTTAAGGGAAAACAAATAAAGAATTAAGGCAATGGTATTACATGGGCACACTGAAGGAAATCAAAGCAATATATAATGATTGATTTGTTTTAAGACTGGTGACAACATCAATGCTTCTTCAAGAACATTTAAAGAAGCATCATGCATCTCTGTCCAACATACTGGTTAAAAGAATGAACATCCTTCACCTGTGAGCCATGACAGTCACTGTGTCTGCAAGACTCATCGTTCGACTTTGGCAAGCAGAGACACAAGAAGCAAGAAATGAAGTCCTAAGAGCAGCTCTTGTAAAGTCATAAGCACCATTCACAATGATCTTCTTAATCAATCCAGTAATCCCATAAAGCTCCAGCTGTGTACTCAAAAACCAGATGGCATCAAGAGTTATGCACAATGCATCATTAAGAGTTTGTGGATCTGCTGACAAAATTAAACTCTCTGCAAGTTCCCAGTCATGTGAACTTATAGCACCCTGAAACAACCGACCCAACTCAATCCTATCTTGTTTGCTAAGTTTCTTCTCATGCCCAGATTTCTCCTTTTTCCCAAGCTCAGAATTCGCTACAACCTCCCTGGATTTTAGTTTTTTCACACCACAACTGCAACCACCAGCTGTTCTTGACTCTTTACTTATAAGAGGTGCTTCTCTTGAGAATACAACATTACTTCCCTCACCTTTTTCCTGCAGAAAGCCTCGAATTTCATTTTTAGGAGTTTCAGTTTCAGCCCCCTCAGTTTCCATTTCAGTGTGCAAAGGCTCTTCAGGGTTAATCTCATCCTCTAAGTGCATATCCTCAGTCCCTATAACAAAGTCCATCCCTTCTTCCATTCTTTCCCAATATCCAATCCTCCTCAAACAAAAAGAACAAGGAATTCTATGATTCCCAATCAAAAAATAGATGCATCCTCAAAAGACCAAAACTATCGGGAAACCTGAGGTAAACTTCTCAGACTAAAAACACAAATTCCATGTAAACCAGACGGCTTCTTCTGGAATTAAAATCTTTCTTCTATCTGTCAATTTACAATCCTGATTGCTTAAACCCCGAAAGAAAAGAAAAAAATTAGAAACCCACTTGGCAAATCGAACCCAAATACCAGAAAATTTCAACCTCAAACCTCAATTCCAAAAACCGCCAGAGAGGGATGACAGAAATTGAGTTATACCACGTGCTCATCCATAGAGATCTGATTCATACCAAAACAAGCATAAAACAATCAACACAAGCAATCTCAATACGAATAACCAAATCTACCATCAATTCCCATGAAATTCACGAAATGGGTATTTACACCTCCAGGCGGTAGTTCCATCAGCAGAAAAGAAACCCGTGAATACCGATAATCCACCGCCAATCCTAAAACGAAAAACCCAGTTCCATCAAAACACCCATATACCAACAGCATCCATTAATACAGATACAACATAACAAATTACATGGGTCTGTTTGAGAAATCTAAAGGAAAAATGGAAACCCATAAAGAAAATTAAAAAAAAAAATTTTAAGAAACAAAACACGGATAGAAATTGAGATAGCAAACCTGAGTGAGGAAACTGCTATTGAGAAATTGAAAGGAGCAGGAGGAGGAGAGACAAAAACCCTCTGCTCTGCCTCTCTTGTATGGTTTTGAGGAGAGATACCAAAATAAGTGAGTCCTGTTTTGTTTTGTTTTGTTTTTGTTTTTTTATTTTTTATTTTTTCAAATTAAATAGGAGGAGTAAATGGTACTATGTTACTAACAATGGAAGGAGTAAATGGAGGAAGATTGGGAAATAAATCTTATAAAAAAAAATTAAGGAAATGAATGGAGTACTAATATAATATTACATTATTTTAACTTAAAAACCTAGTTCGCGTTAAAAGTTAAAGGTTTAAAATTTTTTATTATTAAACAGTTAATTTTTTATGTAAAAAAATATCCTATTTGGTTAAATTTTTAATTTAGTCCTTCAATTATTATACATACCCCAATTCGATCTTTAAACTAAAAAATTCTTAATTTAATCCTTACTATTTACCAATTTGATCCCAAATTCGTCTTTCCATATAGAATTAGATAATGCATCTTATTATTAACGTAACACGTAACCATTAAGTAATGGTTTTTTGTTGTTAAGTAATGGTTTTTTATTGTGGTTTTTTGTTATTAAGTAACAGTTTTTCATTGTTAAATAATAATTTTTTGTTATTAGATAATAGACACGTCAATTTTTTTTAATGAAATAACAACTTAGGATCAAATTAGTGAAAAATAAGAACCAAATTAAAGATTCTTTTAGTTTAGAGACCAAATTGGGGCCTATAATTGAGGGACTAAATTGGGGGTTTAACTTATTTTAAAAGTTTAGTCATAGTAAAATATTAATAATCACAAAAAATTATAATTAAAATATAAAAATATTGTAATATAATCTTCTTTACTCTGCATAAATTATATTATTTTTAATTATTAATAAAAAAATAAATTTAATAAATAAAACTTTTTTTTATCAATAATTATAAAAAGTATAATTAATGTATTGTAAACTATACTTTAAATTTTTCCTCTTTTTTTTTTA